AACAAAAAACTACCAGCCTACAATCCACACCAACAGAGAAACTAGGAAACAAGGAGGACCTCGAGAGAAGAACACATGGTTCACTGAAGAACTGGAGAGGGACAAGAATTCCTGAGCAAGGTGGAAGCACAGTGGGGGAGGGGAAGGAAGGAGGTTGTAAAGGGAGAGGGGGAGAAGAGGAGGGTGTAGGAGAACAGGAGGACTGAGACAGGGGAGGAATAGAGGAGGGCAAGAAAGGAGATGCCTTGACAGAGGAAGCCAGGAAAGATTGTAAGACACCAAAGAGTATATGACTACAAGAAAATAGTGGTCTTTGTACGCATCAGGGAAGTTTCACATATAAATATATGGTAATTGTGACAGCATACCCAAGACTGGTAAAAGCTCAAATTAGACAAAAATTCCAGCATGGAGATGGGAGTGAACACAAAGTCTAGATAATCAGCTATTGTCTTTGATAGCTGCTTGGAGGAAAGGAATTAGCTTTCTTTATCAATGTGATCCCTGATGGACTGATGATGCTTCGATGTAAAGCTAAAACATTGAAGAGTAGTATATGGGCAGGACCAACTACATTTGATTAATTCAAAAAGAAGAAAAAAGAGAGAACACAAAGTTGGGTAGGTAAGGGACAGGGAATGAATTTGAAAGGAGTGGGAGGAGGGAGTAAATGTCTAATAAAAAACACATTGTAAAAGGGTTTAGGCCCCATGAGATTTCCACTAACCCTCCATTCACCTATTTGTTTTGTTTGTCACAAAACTCAGAATCATTGATTTTGTCTCTTTCTCCCCAAAATACAGAGTGAATTCCTGTACCTTTTCTCTCAACTACTATAGTCCAGTCCATCACTGTATCTTCACTCCATCACTTAAGTTTCTGCCTTTCTGAACTTGTCGTAGAACGATTAATAAAAGACCCAGAGACAGATATTTCGATTCAAGCTTCAAGCCGAAGATGAGAAAAGCAAAGTAGTGGCCACTAGCTCTTACATGGTAGCATGTCTTCTGGTGCCACACTTGATCAGATCTCATTTAGACAGTCGTAACAATGAGACTCCATGGGTGTAGCTTCTCTGAGATTTCTAGGAGATGCAATCTTTGTAATAAATTTGGTAATAAAAATTGTAGAAAAAGAGGCCATGAGTTTGAGAGAAAGAAAAGGAGGGAGATATACATGAGGATGGTGGAGGGAAGAAAGGTTTCAGCTCATCCTATACATTTGTCTTTGCTAACTGAGCACCTGTGAGCAGTGGAAATCAGACAACCTAAACTGGATCAGGAGCCTATTCTCTACAGCAACAGTATGTATTCTGTGTGATGGAATGAAGTGGTCCTTGGAGGTTCATGTGTTTTTAAAGGAAGATTTTTTCATCATTGTTTATACATTGCATTGTATAGTTTTCCACCTGGTGAGTAGAGGTTGCTATGTGGAAAATTATTAAAACTAGAGGAAGCTTGAGGTGAGAAATGTTGACTCAATATAAAATTCTACTAGAACAGTAACACTGCATGTTAAATATAATTCAATATAAATTCAGAGGTAATGGAATAACCTATTCTTTTTACATTTTTTGACATATACTCTTCCCCTGTATTTTTGTCAAATTAAATTCAGTAAATACAGAGCTATGATGATTTACAGTCTTATGTACTCGAACCAAACATAGCATTATGCAGACTCATGAAGCTTTGGCAACTTATTTTAATGGAAATTTGATTGCCTGTCAGGAACATTGGAATGATTGCCAGTTAGACTTATATTAATGAACACATTTAGGTGAGAATTATAAAAAAAACTGAAAATTATCATTATTTTTTCTGGAGTGGTTCTTTGCCAGCAACTTACAGTGATAAATAGTGCCCCAGATTTGTTTTTAATTTTAACCACAGAATATGTATTTGCACAGCATGCTCTTTAAGGAATGTGTGCTGATTTTGAAAAATAATTTATTAGGCTCCTAAAAATACATCCTTTGTGAACCAATTACCTTTTAGAATAACGAATGTGAAAGATAAATCTAGTTCCAGTGATAGGCCCAGGAGTCTACCCGCTGCTCTGTGTTTGAGATCTGTGATGTGTGTGTTGGAGTCTATGATTGGCAACTTATGTTAACAGCATCCTTGGATGAAACTGGTCAACGCCACACTCTATCAGATGCTCCATGTTTGAGATCTGTGCTGTATGTGTTGGATTTTATGGATGACAACTTATGTTAACAGCCTTCTTGGATGAAGCTGGTTCACACCACAGTCTTCCTTCATCTCCATGTTTGATATATGTACTTTGTGTATTTAGCTTCGTGGACTACAATATGTGCTAACAGTCTCCTTGGATGAAGTTGATCCATACAGCAGCCTAACAGTCCCTTCATGTTTGACATCAGTACTGTATGGGTTGGGCTCCATGGATGACAACTTGTGTTGTCTCTGGGTGAAGTTGGTCCATACAAGAGTCTACCTGCTGCTCTGTGTTTGATATCTGTTCTGTGGGCAACAATTTGTTAACAGTGTCCTTGGGTAAACCTCCTTTAGAATTTGCTATGTATCCAATTCCAAGGTCCACTGCTGAGGAAATCAGACTTCAAAGCATCTATAAAAGGGGACTTAGTGATTTAAATGCTTGCCTTTCAAGTGATAGCTGAGCTTGTGACATCATTTAGGATGCTACTCTTAGACTGAAACAATTTTATTTAGGGAAGTTTGGATGAAACTTGGGGAGTCTCTAGAAAGAGTTAAACTCCCCTCCACAAATGCACAGAAGCAGGTTTTATTGAGTACATTATAGCGCTATCTGTCTCTGCAAATTGAGTTGCTCCTTCTGTATAAATGTAATGTTTTGCAGTTATTCCTCCAGCCCCATATGACTAAATTTGAGCCACTGATGCCAATAAAGGTGATACACTGAATCTTTGCATTTATCTTGATATGAAAATGCCATTTTAACTTCAAGAGATGGTGACTCTTACCTTCCTGCTGGTTTGGAACATAGAAGTGAAACAGCTTATATAATACAATTGGAAACTGTACCCTACAATAGACAGCAGAACATTGTTTGGGAGAAACTTGTATCCCTGAATGAAGTCCTGGTAAAGCAAAACTAACTTATCAATCTGACTCTAATAACTGTGCCTTAAAAGAAAATTAAAGCATTATATTACTTACAGGATTGTTTTAGACTCTAAAATTTAGAGGAATGACCAAGCTTACATAATCTTTAGAAATGTTTCTGGTGAGTTTTGGTTTTTACAAAGTTTTCTTTTATTTTTTTAGAGTACTTATATGCCCTGTTGTGTTATATCACAGATTAAAAATATCAAAAAATGTATTGTCTCTTTTGGTTAAAAAATTAATTTATGGAGAGTGTGTGTGTGTGTGTGTGTGTGTGTGTGTGTGTGTGTGTGTGTATCTGTGTAGGTGCATATGCCCAATGGGCATTTGGATATCCTCACCAAGGAGTGTAGAGTTTGGAGCACATCTTTGTGGAGTTAGTTTATTTCATCTGCTTTTGCATAGGATTAAGAGGTGGAGCTTAAGTCACTAGCCTTATGTAGCACCGGCCTTTACCTTCTGAGCCTTCCTGCTGCCCCCTCTGTCTTTTGAATCCCAGAGAAAGACTAAGTATGAGAAAAGTTATGCTGGTTTCTGCAGTAATTCAAAAGGCAGAATGAACACAACTATAATTGAGTGCAAAATGTCTACATTTGTCTTTAGGTACACTAATTTGTGTTCTCTAATATCTTTTCTGGGAGAGTAGTTATAAAAGTTATATCAAAGTTTGAGTGTAATACAAAAGCATGTATAGGAAGAGCTTTTATGGAGAAATAGGATTCAGAGTAGAAGAGCGCTAACAATCTTGCTAATGATGATGATGATAATAGTAGTAATAATAATAGCAACCACAGATTGAGTGTCATTATGACAGCTGGTCTGTGTTCTGTGCTCTATATTCCTTTTCCTTCCCAAAGAGTCTGAGTTGCTATTGCTACTGTTTTATACAGTAAGATAAATGAAACCCAGAGAGATGGTGTAACTTCCCACAAAGTAGGCAGAACAAGAGCATAATTATCTTAAAATTTTTACTTTGCAATAGGCAGACTTTTGTGCAGAAAAGGGTTAGCATAGCTGAGCTGACACTGCTATCATCAGAAAGTCCTGCTTATAAAGTTTGCCCTTGGTTATTGTTTGAGAACTTGAGTTTTGAGATTTTCTAACATTTCTTAGGAGTTAATTCTGCCTAAATTGTCTGTGCAAAGGATAAATTTTATATTGAACACCTGTTTTTCTTCTAAGTTCCAAGATTTTGGTATGCTAGGCACTGAATGTCTAATGAGCATTCTTGCTAGACAACACTTCACAAGTGTTATCATGACTCAGGGCTGCACAAATTAAGCACATTTCATGTAGCTATGAAAGGCCTCTCAGCAGCTTGCATTGGGCTTCCTCCTAATATTGCCTAGCCTTCTCCTCCTAATATTGCCTAGCCTTCTCCCTTTGTAAATTTTCTTTTTACTACTTTGATATAATAAATGCATAACTATAAATAAGACCTTGATACACCCCATAATTTCTCTAACAAATCATCAGTTTTATGAAAGCTGTAAATATTTGTTGAACTGGATACATTTTTCCCTGATGCCATTTACACCTTTGAAGAAAGGAGAACTTCATTTTTGTGATTCACACAGATAGAGACTCTTATAACTTACTCTTACTTGCATTGGGGGTCTGAATAAAATTAGGGTTCCAAATTCCAGCCAGCAGAATTGAAGCAGAAGGTATGTATATGCAGAAAACTCTTACATGATGTGCCTTGATCTCTGTCCTCTCCTTGTGAGTCAGTTGCAGATGTCCCAATAGCAAGTGATGACACCATAGGCAAGAATGATTAGTAGTAGTGATTGCGGAGGCCAGGGATCAGCTACTTTTTTTTAGAGGAAAATGTGTAGGAGTCACAGAGCATACGTTTGTTTCAAAGAAGAAAAGTGTAAGTTAAGGACCATGAGGATGTCCTTGGGTTGCAAGCAATACCTTATAAATGCATCTATGCGAATGGCACAGCACAGGTAGTTAGGGAAAGTCTGAAACAGCAGACTGAACAACCATGGCCTCTGAAGCACATAGAATGTGTAGCTCAAGGTTTTACTAGCAATAGGTTCTAAAGAAATAATTTTTGGATGAGTATGTGCCTCATTCCATGGTTACAACTGAATACAACAGGCAGAGAAATACAAATGCAATAGTTTCTACATCTGCATGTGTTTCTCTTATTTTTTCCTTAGCTCTTTTTATTGTTTTCTTTGTCCTACCATAGTTAGTTTGTTTTGTCATATTTTATTTTAATATTATTCTTTACATGTCTGTTTGCTTTCTAATGAGAGATAGAAAGGGTGTGGACTTGGATAGGAGGGGAAATGGGGAGAATCTCAGAGGGGTTGGGGGAGGGAAAACTATAATCAGAATGTATGGGGAAAATCCATTTTCAATAAAAGTAAATTAGAAAAAAAGGGGTGTAGGGAGACACTGTAGCCCCGCCTCCTAGTAGCCCGGACAGGTGTGCTGGGACATGCCCATGAGGGCGTGGTGAGGGGAAGTCTAATGTGACATGGGAACGGTTCTTAAGGGACCATGCACACTGGAGATCCCCTTCTCTCTTCTCTCTGGCCTGGCTGCCTGGCTGCCCCTCGCACACTTTGGTTTGCGCTTGGCTGGTGTTTTATCTGAATAAAGAAACCTTAGCCTTATGGACTGCAGATCGATCTCTTCAAAGGAATTATTTGGTTCATGATTTTTTGGATGGGTGGCCCAAGATAGTGTAGGCATATCAGACAAGATCCTTCTTGTTGAAGTGGATACTGTATGTTTCCAAGCCTGGAAAGGGCAGCTATTCAAAAAGACAATACATCTTATCTCAGACTTCTCCTATTCTTGTAAGGCCACTTTCTCTTGGTTATGAGGGAATCCTGAGAGCCCCATTTATCCTTAGTTACTCCCATGACCATACCTTCAAATGCCATAGTTGATTTAATATTGCATTCTATTAATAATGCATAAAGGGAAAACATTTTCACAAGTATTTTAGTGGGGGCAATCAAGATAGTAAAGTTTGAGTAGTAGGCTTGTGTTCTGATGGTAATAGAAAATCATTCATTGGTTTTAAGTAGGAACAGGATCCTATTTGCTCTGTAGAACACCTATTTCAGGTTTACTTCAGAGATACCTCAGCAGTATGGCAAGAGATAGACTATACGAACATATAGTCTTGGGAGGCTTTGGTTCAGGACCCCTGACCTGTTGGTTGATCTACTAACTGAGGAGCCCCCGCCATATCCGCCACCACCACCACCACCAGAGGCAGAAGTGGACTCCGCCGCCTTGGAAGAGGCCGCCCCGGCTCCTGACCCTTCACCAATGGCTTATCGACTAAGAGTTCATATTGGCCATTCTCAGCATCGGAACTCTATAACTGGAAAAATAATAATCCTTCTTTTTCTGCAGACCCCGTGAGGCTGACATCTCTCATAGAGTCGGTCCTCACGACTCACCAACCCACCTGGGATGATTGTCAGCAGCTGTTGCAGGTCCTCTTAACCTCGAAGGAGAAACAGCACGTGCTACTAGAAGCACGAAAGAATGTCCCAGGAGTCAACGGGCAGCCCATCAAGCTGCCCAATGAAATTGATGCGGCTTGCCCTCTTGAAAGACCTGAATGGGATTTTACCACCAAAGCAGGTAGGACCCATCTGCGTCTCTATCACCAGTTGCTTGTAGCGGGTCTCCAGGGGGCAGGACGCGGCGTCTCTATCGCCAGTTGCTTGTAGCGGGTCTCCGGGGGACAGGACGCCGACCCACTAATTTGGCCCAGGTGAAGCAGATAATACAGGGTGGGGAGGAATCACCTGCCGCTTTTCTAGAAAGATTAAAAGAAGCGTACAGGATGTATACTCCCTATAATCCGGAAGATCCAGGTCAGGCCACCAACGTTTCTATGTCCTTTATTTGGCAATCAGCCCCGGACATGAGAAACAAGCTTCAGAGGCTAGAAAATTTACAGGGATATACACTCCAAGATTTGTTGAAGGAAGCAGAACGTATTTTTAATAAGAGGGAAACACAGACAGAAAGAGAAGAACGCTGGAGGAAGGAAACCCAGGAGAGAGAGGAAAGACTAAGACACGAGGCAGATGAAAAAGAGGTTGCAAGAGACCATAAGCGGAATAAAGAAATGAGTAGGCTATTGGCCACAGTAGTGACAGGACAGAGACAGAATAGGCAGAGGGATGACAGAAGGGGGCCCCACCTGGACAGGGATAAATGTGCTTATAGCAAAGAAAAAGGACATTGGGCAAGAGAATGCCCAAAGAACCCCCGGGCCAAGCCTCCACGGCCAAGGACCTCTGACCTCCTGAACCTAGACGATTAGAGAAGTCAGGGCCAGGAGGCCCCCCCTGAGCCCAGGATAACACTGCAAGTCGGGGGGCATCCGGTCACCTTCCTAGTCGATACACGGGCACAACATTCCATTCTGAATCGGTCACCCGGACCCCTGAGTCACCGGACTGCATGGGTACAGGGAGCTACAGGCGGAAAGCAGTACCATTGGACCACAGATCGGCAGCTCCAGCTCGCGTCCGGTAAGGTCATGCATTCTTTCCTCCATGTGCCAGATTGCCCCTACCCCTTACTAGGACGGGACCTATTGACCAAATTAAAAGCTCAAATACACTTTGAGAGGTCAGAAGTCAAAGTCACAGGGCCAGAGGGAATTCCCCTTACCATCTTGACAATGTCCATAGAAGATGAATATAGACTCCATGAAAAGAAGATTAACTCGAACAATCAGGAAACCCTTGACCACTGGCTCGAGGAATTTCCCCAAGCCTGGGCTGAGACAGGAGGGATGGGCCTTGCCATTAACCAGGCCCCAATTATAGTAACCTTAAAAGCTGCCATCCTTCCTGCATCCGTCAGACAGTATCCAATGCCTAAAGAAGCCCGC